CTGCTGGGACGAAAAGCCAACCTCGCTAGTAGGGAGGGCGCTGGCAATAAACAATGCAATATTTGCATCGATCTGGTACAAAGTCGCCTTTTGGCCTCTGAATAAAAAACAATTAACCAGACTAAATCAGGCGGCAGCTGCCTACCTATGGAAAAATGATCACTCACACACCCGCTGCCTGAAACGCTTATCATGGGATGCCCTTACTCAACCCAGATCAAAAGGGGGGTTGGGAATCATAGACCCGTCCCGAGAGATAAACGCTCTACTGTTTAAACTAATTATTAGAGTGCTACTAGCCGATGACATACCGTGGGCTCCGTATGCACACTTTCAGATAGCGAACCTAACCCCCCCCTCTTCTCAAGACCACCCGGTGCATCCCCTGCAATGGCTGACCAACTCGGCATGGACCATCCCCGCCTGCCCACGGGTGGACTCGGACGCAAGTGTGGGAGGCCAGGCTAGGTGGGACCTGCGCACCGACCCGTTGCGGCCTACAATCATACGCTTATGGAGAGACCATGGTCCGAAGAGAAAACTGGTCTCGCTGAGATGGCACGAAATTTTACGGCAACCGCTGTTTGGACACTCCCAACTCCTAGATCAGGAGGGAGCACCGTTTACCCTTCGGCGCGGGTCCAAATGGCTGAGATGGGTAAAACACGGACTCTTTACAATCCGGGACCTGTGGGATATCAATGCGGCTGCCGGACAAACTGAAGACAAAATAAAAGAAAAGTTGGGGCGGGCTCCCAACTTGGCTCAAGACTTGCAAGAAATCCAGGAGGCTGTCCCTCTGGCCTGGATCAAGGTGCTACGAGATGGTCCCACCATCGTTCAAAATGACTGGGTAGTCTTCATTTCCCCATAACCGTCTTCAAAGTGGAGCAGGTATACCGGGACCACCTGCAGTTGGCCGCCTACAGCCCACAACTACGGGGGCGATGGTAAAAAATACACAGAGATGAGGACTTGGACTGCCAAACCCCAATGTCATCTGTGATAAGGGTGAGAGTGGTGGAAGACAGGGACGATACGTTGTTTTTATACGAACCAACCACCCCCCTCTCCCACCTCCCATTCGATCCAGCACAATGGGAATGACAATGGGGGAGATCATCCAAAATGAGCCCGTGGCAATACACAGTCAAAAACGGATATTGAATGTCAAACGTACAGGTCCCAATTATGGATGACATTCTGCGGAGGTGGGATAGGGGGTCCCCACTGAAAAAAACGGATTTTAATTTTTTTAAATGGACGTCCTACTCCCACATCCGACCAACTAACCACAGAGCCCTACAATGGCAAATTATACACAGATGCCTGCCCACCCCCGACTGGGTGACTGCGAGGACAGATCTAGAGCAAAAAGGGATACTTTCTCCCTTGTGCACTTACTGCGACCACATTCTCCCGAGGAAACTGGCGAACCTGGAGCACTGTCTAATGGAATGCCCTATGGTAACACGCCTCTGGCGCTGGTGGGACGCAGCATGGCACTACCTAACAGGGCACCACCTCCCTTGGGACGTGAAAACCATCCTCTTCGGGGCCCTCCAACCAACCGAAACAGAATGGTAGAGCTTTATGACCAACCTTTTTCGATATTCGCGTTTCACACTGCTTATGGCAGCTTGGCGAATGAGGTGCTCACATGAAAGAAAACAACAATCCTTTGAATTCCAGCAGGCAAGAGCCATGGTTGCTGACACAATCACAACTGAGACACAAGCTGCCTGGAAAAGCCTTAGGGCTAGACTTGACCAAGAATCGGAAGAAACTAAGAAAACGCAGATCATCGAAACCGTCCAGACCACTTGGATTGATCAGAATCACAGACTCTGCACGTTGGATCAACAAAATAACCTCCAATGGCAACCCTGACTCTCCACGGAGAGACAGTGGGAGTTCTTGCCAACTGAACACTTTCTTATTAATTTCCAACCACCAGACTTTGTGCTGTACCCTGTAGACCCGCCTAACATCCCAACCATCCCCCACTGACAGTGTCCTCCTCTCCYGCTCACAACCGACCCTCCCCCARCCCCTCCCCCTCCCCCAGCATTATCCCTTCAGCCGGCCAGGTGAATCACCAATATTTCAAGACTACAGACAAGAGAGCTGCGGGACAAAAGAGCTGAGAGGAAGCTAGTAGTATGCTACGAGTAACACAGGGGCAAGGAGTTCAAGACAATAGGGGGGATATAAGGGTTTGGGGTTTAGGAAATAGGCGACCTCGTCAAATGGCCTGTAGACCGAGAACACAAGACTAGAGAGAAGGGATAATAGGTAGGGTGACAGAGATAAGACATCGGGACCAAAGAGCGCAATGTGATGTAATATAATGGAATATAATGGAACATAATATAATATAATGTGATGAGGAACGGGATTTTAGGGAGGGTGGGCACAATAGGGACGGCGGTAGCCGCCCTGCACTACCTCATCACGGAACCATTACTGAACCAATAGGCACAAACGAACAGTAAAACAGTTAGATACAGCATATAAAGAAGGCATACCTACATAGGGTGCAACATGATCTCAACTGCAGTCTAGGCCTTTGGCCCACACAAGCACTATTGGACAGATGTGCATATAGCTAGAATAATTGCAGGGTTTTGCAATGACATCACATGTTCGGGATATGAGGCCGCTGGCAGTGATCGCCTGCTCACATATACTATATCAGAAGGGAGGGTTTAGCCACCCGACCTGACCACATAGAACAATACAATGTCATCTAAAATGCATCAAACAAGATAGAGATCTCCCTGCACTTAACATAGACGGACTGTAAGGCATACAAAGGAAATTAGACATGTCATTAGACATATCAACACATCGTAGCAAAGGGCAGTGGGTCTCGATCTCCACAAACTACATTCAATTCATTGAATAGGGACGCTGAACCCGTTTTCCAGCAGGTGCTGCTCCCCACCAATAGATGGAGCCTCCCCGACGGCGCTAGTGGTGTCTGCTCGTATCAGCACCCCGAGCGTCAGTTCGGGTTGCTTTCTCAAAAAAAAAAAAAAAAAAAAAAAAAAAGGGAAGGGTAAAAAAAAAAAAAAAAAAAACAGAAAAAAGTTAGGGGCGGTTAGGGGCAGTTAGGGACAGCTAGGGGCGGTTAGGGACAGTTACGGACAATTAGGGGTGGTTAGGGACAGTTAGGGACAATTAGGGGCGGTTAGGGATAATTAGGGACAATTAGGGACAGTTAGGGGGTGTAATGGGCGGTTAGGGGAGGGTGGGTGACGAGCAAGCATGGTTACGGGTGGGTGCATACAATAATGGTGAGGTACGGGTGGGTAGAGATAAAGAAAACTTCGGTAGGGTAGGGTATGGGCGGTTAACAAACGGTTTAGGTTCGGGTGGCCTTAGATGGTTTTGAAAAAAATAGCTCATGGGTACGTATGGTCAGTTACATGCTGAAGAGGTTCAAGTAGGGTAGGTCTGGGTATACTTTTTTTTTTTTTTTAGCAGGTGGAGATGGGTAAAGATCCGGCAGGCCAGGTATACAGTGGGTATGGGTGCTTGGTTTTCAAAGAGGGTGTGCTTAGGTCAGGTACTGGTAATTCTAAAAATCCCAGTTGCGAACTCTGGGTTGGGGGTTGTCAATTGTAAGTAGGTGTCGGAAGGTGGAGTTCGTCAAGAGGTGGGGGGGGGTTACATTTTTAAGAGACATCGCATTTGGACATCCACATGTGCAATATCACATGAGTAATACATGTTATTACCAAACATGAAAAACAAAGTCCACACGTTATTACCATACATGAAAAGTAAAGTCCACATATATTTTGGACATCCACATGTGCAATATAACAGAGCACATGCTGAAGTAGAACGGTGCATGTCCGAACAACGTGTAAGAAATATAAACAAAACATACGTTTGCTCGAAGGACAAGTCAAAATGATTGCCCTATACTGAACAAATGTAGAGCCTGCGTATGAGAAAACATGATCACTGAATGCTAAATAAGCCTCATACCAAACAACATGCGTGCTATGACAAACAAAATAATCAAGCATCGTGTACAAAGATCATCGTCTGTATGTCAACTACCTACCAATCAATTTCGAGTGTCTCTAATGTACAAAAGCTGCGCCGATATTTCTACACACTATATAATGAAGACTACAAACAAACCTTAGGGCAATTCTGTCAACTCCAAACATGCACGGAATAGAGCAAGGCTCATGCTCTCTAACTGGCCGACACCACGGTCTCCACCTCGACCCGCCGATCGAGGACCACGCGTGGCCGATCGTGTTGACGAAGCCGCTCTCCTCTCTCTCTCTCTCCGCCTCGCCACGTCAATAGGCTCCTCTCTGTATTTGCGTCGATGTCTCGTGCAGCCTCCTCAACCCTCGCCAATGATGAAGCCTCCAATGCTGCAATCTCCACCTGGTGGGCTGCTATACGAACCTCTATCTTCATCAAGGAGTCCGCACGTCTCTGCCGCACGTACAAAGGTAAAGCCTCCTCGCCAAAGGTGTACGCCCCGCTCTGCACTCCCGACTCTGGTGCGACTGGTATGCGCAAATCTTGCATCCTCCCAGGCTGCCACCCTCGGGGCGTCCTGCCTCCTCTGCCTCTCTCTCTGCCAGAGCTCTTTCCTATGTCTCTCTCTCTGCCCTCTGTCTCTTCTCTCTACATATTGCCCTAGCCGCAACAACCTCCCTCCTAAGCTTCTCATCCACTTTTCGCACAAATGACCAAGGACAGTGGTCAGACTGCCGAACCTCCTGCCGTGAAGGTGTCAACGAGGTAGACATGTGTTCTCTCCCAACAACACTCCCCGGTGTCGGATGTTGGGCAACGCTCTGCGCGTAGTGTGTGGTGAGTTCTGGTGGACACATATCACTGTGAGCCGCCCATCGCTCGTCTCTAATCCTCGCTGACTCCGCCTCCACGCTCCAAGCTCCTGGGGGATCCATAATATACTGGGCTGACAGGGGTGTAAGCTGGCGTTAATGCGTCACGAGCACCAGTACATCCGTCACGACCAGTAGTGGTGTTGGGCAACGGATCCACCACACCCTCCCTTTTCTCCTCGTATGCCGCTACCACCTGCGTGTCGGAGACCGAGCCTGATGTGTGACGATCTGCTCGCGCCTCGCCCTCCACTTCGTGCCCTCCCGACTCCTCCTTGTCGCCTCGTGTCATGTCTCCAATAGAAACCTCATCCGAGACGGGCTTAATGTAAATGGGCACCCTGTGTGGCTCCTCTGTGTCTGCAGCATCCGCCTCCAAACCCTCAGCTCGACCGTCAACACCATGGCCCTCATGACTGAATACCTGCTCCACCTCCGCACCTCCGAGTGCCATAAGTCGCAGTTCAATGTCGCGCACAACCTGCGACTCCGAGTCCATCGTGCCTGAACCTCCTGCCTCTGAGGTAAGAGGAGCATGGGACGCAGGTGACCCACATGGTCCAGGAGGCGATGCAGACAAAGTGGGAACATCAGCATGTCCCATAATGATCGGGGATCATGGTGAGAGAGTGGCATGGTGTGTCGCAGCAGGGCGGTCGGTGGTCGTGTGTGGCAGCGACGTCAGCGGATGTGATGAAACATGTCCCCCACCCGAAGGTTGCAAGGCAGCATCCTGTCCAAGCACAGCCTCCACGCTCTTTTGATCGCCACCTGCACCAATGGTCTCTAGCCGTCTCATGCGCTCCACCTCCGCTAGATAAGTCGGTTTCCCTGCCCATTGCATCCGAGACAAACGCCTCTCCTCCTCCACGTCAATGCGCGCGTCACGCTTTGCCTGTGTCTCCTCGATGTGGTTGTCGTCAGGATAGTAGTCGGCCATGTCCCCCAATCGAACGTGCTGGCGTCTGCCAATGCCGCTACCGGACGTGCCCTCCCCACCCACCATGAAGTCCCTCGTCCGCAAGACTGAAGGAATATCCTGTGATGGCTTCTACCGAATCGGAGTGCGTTGCTCGGGCTCCTCACCCTCCGACACTATCTTGTTCAGGTGTTGCGAACAAACGGTCTCTGTCTGTGGGGCAGTATTATCGCGGCTAACTAGCCTCGCCGACCGTCTAAGAGGCTCTCGTCCCTCGACGACCTGAGACACCGGCGAATCACGTGCACGCAATAAAGACTCGTCGTTCTCACCCATGTGCTCATCGTCAGTGTTGTCAACACTGAACACCCTCCTCGACTGTGTGGCATGGCTGGTGCGGCGCGTACGTGTGCCACGTCTCGTACCATGGTCTACGCCTGCCCGAGTTTTGCGTGCCTCCCATGGAGGATCATCATCCGCTTTGATCAGTGTAGTCCGAGGTTGTGCCCCAGTGAAATCTCCACCTGAGCATAGTAGAGTCTCTCCAGAATCTTATCTGCACGACATGCGATCTCCTCGGGGTCAGTGCACTCCTCATCGTTGTCAACGACCTCGTCGCAGCTGCACGAGCCGGGTCATCCTCAACCTCCTCCTCCTGCACCTCCCCCTCATAGGGGAGGAGCACCGCGGCTCTCACACAAAAAACGTCCGATACTAGACGAGGACGGCAATTACCTAGCTGTTGTGATCAACGTGTCAGCGCCACCAACTCCTCATCCGTCACCGACGACCGGGGTCGCGCTCCCCATATCGAGGGCTCTGGCTCCTCGTCAACAGGCCTCGTTGAACCACCCTCTGCCGCCCCAGACCGTACCTCCTCTAGAGCGTCTAAGTTTCCCCACGGGAGAACGTAACTGGCTGATGACTCAGAACAGTCCAACAGTTTGAGATTGGTGGCAATCTCAACCAACTGAGAGAGCTTTGCAAACTCCAGCCTGTTATGCCTCGTTGTGCACACACGCTCATGCTCCGCCCAGTTCCTCTCAGAACATGCAGTTCGTGAAAAGTAGACATTTCATGAAAATTGGATTCGAGTCAAAAACTTTACGTGGATTTAAAAAAAAACTTGTTTTAAGGCTGTCACATAGAACATGCATTGACCATTGTCACAGACATTTGGACATAAACCCATATTTTTGGTCAAGCAACGAGATAACTGAAACGCAAAAAAACAAACAACATGTTAATGATGTTATTACAAATACATATAAGCTGCGAATTCGTTTTGCATAAGGAAAACTATTTTTTTCCAAATCATATGCACAAGTCTGTGGCAAGTGAGGTAATTAGACAACATGCTTATCGAAGCGAAAACAAATGAGCAAACATTTCAATAATAAAAACAAAATGAAAACAAATTGTAATGATAAGTTCCAACTATGCATAATAAAGAACTTCTCCGGAAAAAAAAATAGATTTCATTTACAAGAAATTTTTAATTTTAGAAGTGAGGCGGTAAGGAGCACTACCAAGAAACGTCACAAACAATACTATAATAAATAATATTCACTTTTTCAAACTCCTAAGTGAGGCAAGAGATACATTTTCGTCCTCCTCATCCTCTCTATCAACTGCGTCTATGCAGTCAGTAGTATCAATCTCCTCCAAGGTTTTTGCTATCGTGGCTAGAGTATTCGTATACAGCCCTCGGTCTACTTTCAAGAAAAAATTATAATACAGGACTCCACAGTCCCATGCAAAAGTTTGTTCTATCGGCTTGCTTGTCACACGTTCTCATGAATTCGTATAGTTAAATGAAAAATATTTACCATTTTCATTTTCTGCATACCAATGTCCTATAAACTTCTGATTCTCTAAGACTCGCTTTACTTTCACTATGAAATAAGGCTTCTCATGATCTTCCTCGTCTCGCCTTGCCCTTACAACCACAAATGCACCCTCCTTCAAGTCCTCAAAGCCTCCTCTCTGCTCATAAACTCTAGATGTCTTTCTATATACAACATATAGAGGTCTTTCAGGAGGATTTATATCTCCACGCAGCATCTCAGCCTCTGCAAGTCTGTCGGCTGGCTTGTCAGAGCTATCCGAAGCGGATAGGTTGCCACATGGCCAAACAAATGGATGGTGCTAGCAAGCTGTATCGAAGTCTGTATTCTTTTGTTAAGTGAGAAATTGTTCCCATCATGCAGCAGACACATCATCGATATATTTGCAAAATGCTTTCACATTTTCACGTATTCCCGACAATGATAAAGTTTTGTCGACACTTTTTTTTCTCCTCAGAGGCTTTGATTCTCTCATCCATGCTTCGCACAACATGACGTGGAGTCGCAGGCACAGTAAGTGCCTTGAAGATATCCAAGTCGTTGTCATATTGCGGGTGCCATGACGATGTACAAAACTGTCTACTCCAAACAGCAACACTTCAAGCAACATTTCTCTGGATACAAAAATGTTGGTTGAAACTGATATCATGAAGGGATGCCAAGTGCTCTTTCACATAAACTTTCCAGTCGCAAACTTCAAGCATCCGCTCAACATGGACACCAACATATTTGGTGTACGATTGTCTGATCACTGTCTCCAGAGAAGGTAGGTCACAAGCATCCCTATGCGTCAGAGCTCTGGAAAAGCAGCTGAATATGTGATCGATATTCTTATGTGTGTGACCCACCAAAAGGAAGTTGAGCTTGATTTTCTCGAAAACCTTCATGTGGACCAAGTACACCAGGTAGGCCAAGACGTACTTGTTTTTGTCCTCTCTCGATGTATTGTGTCAAGAGTAAAAAACAACACCTTTGGCAAATGTCTTGGTAGATCCGAAATAACTTTATGAAGCAAGGTAAGCATGGAGTTCGAGTCCATGCTAAAGTTGTCGAACATCATCTGGCGTACGTTCTCTGCAGATGTCCTTCCACCTTTGCACCCACGACATGCACCTTCAAGAAGTCCGCTTCCCTAATCCTCGAATCTTTAGGGACACGCCAAAAATGAGGAAGACTGGTTTTGCTTTGATCCATCCTATCAACAATAACGACTACATACTTCTCCGGTGACGACTTGGCTTTCTCACGGCGGTCCATCAATTTCTGTTTCTCCATCCTTTGTGCTTCAAGATGGTAGTCCAACATTCTTTGGAATTCCCCTGCGGCAACAACACGAAAGACAAATATGTTATCACAAGGGAGGCAAATGGCAAAAGTGGCAACCAGTAGAAAGGAAGCCCAAAGCAGGGTGGAGGAAGAATATAGCAGCGCGCAAAGCACGATGCATACCTTTCTGAATGGGCGAAATAGCTTTCCCACAATGTGCAAACCTTCGAACAACAACGCTTCCTCCAAACGCTCATAAAGAATGGAAGTGACGGGACCACATCACTAGGATGCAGACGACGGAATTGAGCACTGAAAAATTCATAGACTCCCGTCTTTGTCAGGCAATCGGTGAGATGAAACCTATCGGTGTTTGACATGGACTCTGTGTTCATGTTGAAGTAGGTCTTCGTCCATGTATACACAGACATGTACCTCACAGTTGGGCAGCGACTGTCGGAATTGCCATGCACATAACCATGCACGTCATCACGAACTGTTGCACGCACCCTAGCAACTTGCGTCTTGCACAGTCCATATAGGCGGCCCCACGCATTCGAGCAGACGAATCGATTGGCGAAAGCAAGACGCAATGTCAACAGCGTGCCATCAGCGTTGAAGGTCGACACCTTTCTTACCTCCTATATCAAAAACTCCATCTGTTGAGGCTGTCTCATAGCCCATAACTTGCTTCTTACATCCAACACCTCCTCCAAACGGATCGTATCCACGCAGCTTCTCACGCAGCAGCCACCTTGGAGAGTCGTACAGGTAACAACGGCCGTAACAAGCGCACATGTTTTTTTGTCGCGGACACGTCCATTCTTGTTCCTCTTGCCAAGAATGTACTCGGTCTTGCGCCCGAATGCTGTGTAAATTTCTTTCCCATCATGCCCATAAAAGCGATCACCATGGATGTCTTCAACGCTCCTCGAAGGGCAAACCGTGTCCACAAAACTGTCGACGTCGGGAGAAGGCGGAAGATCCGTGAGGTCGAGCGAAGAGAACTTGGAAGGCGTCGGTCTGTAAGGGCTCGCAAAACACTCTTCTTCTCTCAAGCACGAGCGGATCAGAGAAGAGACGTTTAATCCTCTCCACGTTCCCCATAGCTCGGACATCCATCGCAAAGTGCCGATGCACACATTCGACACCAACGGCAGGAGGCAGGAAGTGTCTGCCTAGTCTCGACGACAACAAAAATCATCAGACCATGCACGCGAGCCGGCCCCGACACAGCGACCAACAAACAAGTGAAAGACCTTGTCGGGACCCGGCAAGCGTGAGACAGAAATGAAAGGAGCAGTCAGGACCAAACAAAGGCACGTCAGTGCCTTCCAGGTGCCCACTGACCAGCTCGGAAGGATGTTCAAACCGTCGGTTGATGTGTCCAAAACACTTTTCAAAACCTCGCTCAAGCGGGAAGGAACCATGTGAATTTTTTGCACATTTTTCACAAATTTTCATTGTTCCTTCCGAATCCTGAGGGGGAGCCACCAGCAGGTCACGACAATGAGGCACGCATGAAAAGTGCACGGGATGACAACGAAAAAAACCAACCAACTGTTTTTGGCAATTTCACGACCCCTATGAACGCACGGAGGACACACTAAGTCAATGGCCGCAAAACGTGAACCGAGGACGCAAGGGCCAGGAAAAAAGGAGGCTGAAGGGATTCATCCACGGTACCCAGAATGGCGCCAAAAAGAGGAATTCAAGGCCAACGGGCAGTATTCAAAATTCGTAAGGGGAACGAGGCCGAGGTGAGCACAAAGTGAGCCGAACCCAGTAAACCAGGCTGAGGCACCTAGAGGGAGCAGAAGGCAGGCCGAAGGAGCCGACGACCAGGCGGGGACAGTGACCATGGGTAGCAGCTTGTGTGGCAGGTAGAGCTTCAAGGAGCAGCAGCAGCGGAGACGGGGCAGAGCGCGAAGAGGGAGGTCCGAGGGAGGTGGCTCAGAGAGCCAAGAGACTGTAGCCCGGAACGGGGTAGGGCGCGCAGCAGAGAAA